GGGCGCCCCGATTGGCCGCAAGGCCAGAGGGGCGCCCCGATTGGCCGGTTTCATAAAGATGTTGTGATAAATGAATTGGGGTGGGGAAGGTAGTTCCCTTTTATGGACACCCAGTCAGCCCGTTTTCTATAAAATCCCTCTTAGTAGATGTTCTCTACTTGCTTTACCTGTGAAGGGTTAAAAAGTCTCACTGCATTGCATAGGTAAAAAGAAGTGAGTGCGCACAGGGCTTGAACTTTTTAAAATTGAGGAAAAACTCTCCTGCTGTCTGTCTGTTCTCCCAAGTCGAGAGACCCAGGTTCCTGGCACCCATCCAGAACCAGTCCAAGGATCAGAACAGGCGGAGCAGTCAGCACCAAAGCCTATGCTTACAATCCCACCAGTTCCAGGCAAAGCAGGAAGTGGATGAGAGCCTCAAGGGAGCTTGGACGGCAGCCCAGAACAACCCACCACCTCTCAGCTTTTCTCATAGGTCTATGTTTGTTGTAGAAGGTGGACTCTCACACGAGGAGACCGTTTCTGGTGGGCACAAGGAGGACTGGCATCTTCAGAGCCAGTTGGTAGTTCCAACTAAGTATAGGGAAAAGCTCTTGAGCTTAGCCCACGATCACCTTCGTGGCCATGCTGGGGTGAACAGGACCAAAGACCATTTGGGGAAGTCATTCCAACTGGGAGGGAATCAGCAAGGACGCAAATTGAAAAAAAATTTCAGTACAATATTATTTATTTTTGTAGTAAATAAAATATTTGACATATTAATAAATTCTCAGAAATGTAGAGAAATGAATTATAATTCATATTCCCTCCGTACACACACGGGAATTGAAATGACGACATCTTTGTTATTTTATTTGTATTTTTTTTAATTTTTTTTTTAATTTTATGTTTTTTCCTCGAATTTGGAACCCCATTTACCTTGGCATCCTAGGTGACCGCCTAGTTTGCCTATATGAACGCCCCCACCACCCCCACACACACACTTTCTCTCACACATTCTCTCTGTCTGTTTCATTCCTTCCTGTGATGGGGTGTTTACCCCACCCTTGCCTGCAAAGGGTTGATGCAGACTGAGAAGGGGGCTAATTAACCCAACAAGCCACAGCTGAGGGGAATCAGGTGGCCAAGTAATTTCCTGGCTGAATGAGGGAGCCCACCTGAGGAGGAACAAGCTGGACTAGGACTATAAAGACACGAGATTGGAAGCAAAAGAGGGCTGGTAGGAAACTCTGTAGTTACAGCCTTGGAGAAGGGAGGTATGGTTGGGTTAGTAAACCTGGAGTTAGGGGTAGCCAGGGCTCAGGGAAAGGCGGTAAGGTTCTAGAAGAGACCAGACCTTGACTGTTGACGAGTGGGGTCCCTGAGCTGGAACCTGGAGGAGAGGGTGGACCCAGGTTTCCCTGCCAGTCACTGAGAGAGTGGCATTATGAAGCAGGGAATGGGAAGGCTGCCTAGGGCTGCTGGTAAAGATAGACTTTCCAACCCTAGGAGCAGAAAATGCGTACAATGACCTGGCTGGAAGGCTGAGTCACAAAGAGGCAGTAGCAGCTTGTGGAGAGAGAGAGAGGTGCAGGCTGGTGTGCAACTGTGGGAAAGGGTGTTGACCTGGTGAGCTATTCCCCACCGTGACCAGGAGGACGTGCCAGTCTAGTGGTGAACAGAGCACCCTGTTACACTCCACGCTTGGTTCCTTAGTTCACTATTGCCTGCTGTGCTGTGAAGTCAAGACATCATCAGTGCTATGAAGAGCTGAGTCTGTATGAACCACATAAAGACTTGATTCTCTCCATAGCCCTGATACATAGGAAGGAACCTGTTATGTAGCCCCACTATTCACTAACTGCCCCACTCTACCTTTCATGGCCTGACAAATCTTCAGTCTATCCCCTATGCCTCCCAAATACCTGTTGCTGCCTGTTTTTCTTCCTTGGCTCCTCAGGGTCTCTGTGCTGAGTGGAGATAGAGGGAGTCAGGCTAGCAGCATCAGAGGACAGAAGTAGCTAGTAGAACTCAAAATGTCCATTGGCTTTTCATCCCAGAGATAAAGCAGGTTATAATGAGGAAAGGGAATAAGTCTATTTGTGTTTAAAGTTAACCGTTTAAGAATTTTTGTGTGTGTTGGAGTTGCTGTGGCTCTTAAGCTAGAGGATCGGGGGGACATTTTGTAAGTGTAGGGAAAAAATTCAAAAAGGGTTCATTCAGAAATGTTTCCTCTGCTGAAGTTAGTAAATCTTTGAACAAAAATATTATAGAAAATTCAGTTGACCCACAAAGAGCATATATTAAATTTGGAGACTAAATTCAATTGTTAAATATAAAAATGGCTTTAAATGCAAAATTTGAATGCAACCTCAACTCTGGAGTTACTGCTAATGAGTCCATAATAACTATAGCACTCCTTGTCATAAACTTCAAAGTGCTCTGGTCCTACAGAGTAGTGTTACAAAGAAGGGGCCAGGTATTAGCTCATGGCATGTAGATCAAGTTATTATATTGAAGGTTTTATTGTATTCATTTATACTTTTTCAGTCTAGTGCAAAGGCAATCTCTTCCCTACCAGCTCCATTCCTGCAGCAGTTGTTTGCATGAGTATTCAAACCCCAATGAGAAACATGGCAAACATTACATGATGTACCAGTGTATTGAAGTCCATCCAAGTCCTTTTCTAGGGAACTCAATAGCAAGTTCACAGCAAATATGAACAACTAAGTGGCACATTTGACAAGTAACTCATGTTCTGTGCACAGATGCATGTGAAAGGGAAATTACTTAACTGGTTTGATGTTGTTTCCCCTTCAAACTAACTTCACTGACAATGTTTCCACATACACATTGTGCCATTAATCTTCATCCTGTAGCTTCAGCAGAGAACCCTTTTTTCTTTCCCCTAAGGCTTCCAGGCTCCAGCCCTGTAAGGGGGCACAGGTTGCAGAGAAATTCACAGAAACAGGAAATTGAGCTTCCTCAGTCAGTTTTGAAACAACTAAAAACCTGTTTCCTCTTCTACAGAAACAAAACTGGCAGAGCACTCTCTGTGCAGGTTCACTCTGAGCTGCACCTCAGGAGGAGGAGAAGGCAGCTGCAGGATCCTCACACAAGGAATACATGCGAGACATCTCGTGGCTCTTACAAAACAACACAGGATGAAGGAGATAATCTTCTTATTGCTTCTCTCGCACTTGCAGAGTGGCAGCCTGGGATCTGCTACCACTGGCAAGCCCTGGCCCATGACTAGGGATGGTGAGACCCAACCAAGCCACGCAGACTTGACTTCACCTCCTACTGCAACGCACAGCCTCAGAAACCTGGTGGCAACCCCCATATCCACCCCTTCTGAGATCCAAACAGCTGCAGCAAGTACATCATGGGAACATGCTGTGAAAATCACCCCTGCGTTCACAGAAGAGGCTCAGGGATTGAAAACCCTGCCAGGGACCGAGGAGAAGAAAACCTCCACCCCTACAACACAGTCCAGTGGAAACAGCAATCGTGGTGGTGCTAATGCTAAGCAAGGAGCCCTATCCAACAGCACGGGGAGCTTTGCACAGAGCGCTCCTAGAAAGATGCCTCCCCAACAAGGGGCTGTTAAAAGCCAGCAAAGAACAGGGAACAGATCTCCCAGGCTGTCGTACTACAGCGCCGCCAGCACCAGCACTAAGAAGGATGCTGACTTCAAAAAATCCGGCTTTGAAACTACCCGGGGAAAGTAAGGAAAACTACTTATTTTATTCTCTTATCTTATGATCTGCTTATCAAGGCCATGGGCCATATCCTGGTCCTACTGAAATCCAAGGCAAAGTTTCCATTGATTTCAGTAGGACTTGGTTTTGAGGGGGATGGGGGGGAGCCGGGGCCAACATCTGTAGTCCTTACTCAGTGTATCCAAGTCCATGCACCCACACCTGCAAACTCATGATTGCCAAGTTCCCTTGGCCCCATACCATCATCAAAACTCCCATTGTAGTGGCTAAGTAAAGACTGCAGAGTTTAGCCTGTCATGCTTATTATTTTAAAGCCAGTGTGCAAGTCCTCACTATCATGTATGATTAGAATGGAAGATGGAATAACCTAATTATCTGTGGTCAATATTCTTCAGGGTTTTAAGGAGCTGCCCACAACACACATTTTATTGTAGATTGTCTATGCTTCCTGTTTTAGGCACTCATTGAGCAGTGTGGTGTCTAAATTCTCCCTCTTGAAAATTTTCATTTTTGTGGGTTCAAGAGATTGCACACCCACTTGTTTGGGTGCACAAACATAGGGGCCTTTTAAAAAATGTTTGGCCTTGTGTTCCTGAACTGCCCCTGTTAAAGGGTATGCAGTGGTGGTGAAGCCGTGTTGGTCCCAAGATATTAGAGACAAAGCAGGTGAGGTAATATCTTTTATTGGACCCACTTCTGTTGGTGAGAGAGACAAACAGAAGTGGGTCCAGTAAAAGATATTACCTCGCCCACCTTGTCTCTTTGTTAAAGGAATCACGAACTATTAAAATACGATGCTGCCTAATAAAAAAAATTAATTGAAAGCCAAACCAAGTGGCACTGCAGCACCGTTAACATTCATGACTGGGTACTTGTTAGACCAACTGTCTTTAGTGAATCATCTCGCCACTGGGCAGAGTAGCTTGGGTGAGTCACTTACCTTGTTTGTAAAATTCCTTACACTTTAAATGGGGACGATAATCCTTACTTACCTCAACGAGGTGTTGAGGCTTCCCTAATTGTTGGTAAGAGTTTGGCTATTTGGCGGAATGGTGCAAAGTATTGCTATTTTTCAGTAATATTTACCACTATGTGGCTATACAATAGAAGTTTCCTCTTCTACAGTGCTTATTTACATCTTAATGCTAAAAATGTAGACTTGTTTTTCTCTTTAATTTAAACAAAAGATAACTGACAAACTCCTAGAAACATCTCCCTGCACGGTATGCAGGGATTTGATCTAAAGCTTTTGGGCAATGAAAAGATTCCCATTGACCTTGCTGGGCTTTGGAGCAGGCTCTGTGTGCAAGTGATAACAGACACAAATAACCAAAGTCCATTTGGTCTAACCTAGGAAGAGATTACAGTAAGGAGAGCACTTCCATAAAAGCAGTATTCCACTGAAGTTCTCGAAGATGAATATAGTGTGTTATAACAAACTCCTTGTCACAGTGGTCTGGGTAAACTGGAGTTAAACTGGATCTCTTTATTGGTGAGAGATCATGCTACTATCCTCAATTTCATATTTGTTTGAATGAAGAAATAGGTGAAAACTTTCACACTTGATAAAACTGAAGTCCCTAGGCTTTTCCACATTGATTCAGCTTCCAACTGGTGTAACTACTGATTAGGAAATGGAATTTCTCAGCCTTTCTAAACCCCTCAAAAACAGCCATAGCCAACTCTGGCAGACCTCCCTTTGCAGTATTCAACAACTTACAATTAATGTTCACAATACCACCATGGAGTAGGTGCGTATTGTCCCTATTTTCTAGTTTAGGGAGGGCGGGGGGGAGAAATGGATATAGAGGGCCAAATTCAGCCCTGGAGTAAGTGAGCTCACTGGAGTCACACCCATCAGGGCTGGATGTGTTAAATAGTTAAATAAACCTCATGTTAAATAGTATCTTTTTCCAGGAGTAGCCCCATGGAAGTTAGTGGGGTTACTTGAGGACTAAGCTACTACTACTCCACTCAAATCTCATTTTGCTCAAACCTCATATAGCAGGTTAAGTTGCAAAGCAAGAATTAGATATCACGTTGAGATATTACAGGGATGAGTTGCAGTATAGGGCAATAAGATGGATCAGAATGCCAAACTCAAGCCACATGACTTGTCACTCTGAGCTAACTCCTACAGTACAAGGTTAGATTTGATCCTGGTGGTCTTTCAGGTAGAATGGTTAATATTCTGCTTCTCATTCCAAGATCCTAATTCTTTATAGTCCTATAATATAGTCATAACTATATGTGAGTATGTTTACAACAATTTACGGAGACTTGGGTTCTATTCCTGGCTCTGTTACTGGCTTGCTGGGTGACCCTGGGCAAGTCACTTCACCTCTCTGCCTCAGTTTCCCCATCTGTAAAATTGGGGTTCTGATACTGACCACCTTTGTTAAGCACTTTGAGATCTACTATGAGATGAAAGTGCTATTTAAGAGCTAAATATTAACTATTTTAAATAAATGTGGGGTTTTTAACGTCCCCACAAAGTACTTAAACATGATTACGGCTAACCCTTTTTTGCAGTATGGTGTTAAATAAAAATAGAATGGCACACTGTAACACTTGATGTCAATACATATGGCTTTCTGTGAGTTTCCTTCATTGTGTAATGAGCATAGCACAAATATGTCAATAGCTTTACAGTGCATTATCTTTAAGCTATTAAAATCTGCTAACTTAGAAATCCAACTTGCCCTTTACTTTATTTTGAATGGGCACATCCATTTTTGTTAAATTCAGTTTGAAACAGACTCTTCCAGTGACCTTGTATAAGCTATCTGACATCATACCCTTCACAGCGACCCATTGTGTTCGCATATGTACAGACACACCGATGTCAAAAGGTTCCGTATACAAAGCACAATAGGAAGAGACCTTGAAGAAGGGGAAGAGATAATAGGGGGAAAAAACATAACATCACTTATTATGCGATAAATAAAGTTATTTTGTGGAGGGAGGAAATCAGCACCTTTCCCAAGATCTACAATATGTATCTACAGTATAACTTTAATTATCCAACTACTCTGCCTTTCAAAAAAGGGTCATGTGCCCTGCTGACTATTAACTACAATGGAAATTCCCTCAGTAATACCTAACCTTGATTAGCTGAACTTAATCATTGTCCCAGAAGACATTTGGATAATAAAGTTGTTTTGCATATATACACATTACATGTACATTAGAGCAGGTGAAAAATGAGCATCTTTTTGCAAACATTTTCATGAAAAATTCATTCCTTTTGGTTAATATTCAAAATGTCATCAAAAAAGGTCAAAATAATCAAATTTTAGAAAAATTCCACCAGTTCACTGTGTGCTGCTTTGTTTGTGTATAGGTGTGTGTGCATATGCTTAAGAAATAAAAAATATTCCTCATAAGTTTATCATAGTTTTAAATAATTTGGTACTAACTAATCATTATTAGTGATCACTTTATTTAGAGAATACTCCCACCACCAGGCCACTCCATGCTGTGCAGACAATCAAAACAAAATAAAATTCACTATAAAAATCCATTAAAAAATAGCAAAAGTCAAACAATGTGGCAACCCAAAAACAAGGGGATCCTACACAGAAATAGAATTAAAAACTGGATTAGCCACTTTAAAATTTTATTTTCTATCCTAATGTAGTTACGTAAATATGGCAAATGGTCCTTTAATTGGGGCATTAATTATAATATCTGTCTCCTTGTTATCTCCTAAGTTAGTTAATTAGTGAAGCACATTACTACGTTGACTCCACGTAAGACAAATATTAGTTGACTGGACAATTGGACAACCTGGATCAAAGCTAATTTTCCAGCTCAAATTGACTTGCTGGATGATATATGTGATCATTTAGGGCCCAATTCTGTTCTCAGTTACTGTAAATTCAGAGTAACTCATTGACTTTATGTGGGCAGAGCAGCATGACTGCAGCTAAACAGATCTTGCTATCTTTTTCCCATATCCAAGCTGATCATGGCTATTCCGACTGGCCACTGGTCTCAGGAATTGGACTTAATTACGTTCCTAAAATGGAAAGTGCTATAGAAGTGCAAAGCCTTATAATTGACTCAGTGGGCCTTGGAGAGAGAGCGAGCTGCAGTTTAATATTAACAACACTTTATTGACAACTATTATAGGGCTTTATTATAGGTAAGTCTATATATGTAAGTGTTGTAAAAAACCAAACCCTGAATTGATAGCAATTTACTGTTTTAGGACTAGTTGTCATTTAAATACTTAAAATGCCATAAGCAAGAAAGTTACAATAAAAATTAAATGAAGAGTTGTTTTGGAACTACACCATTGGGTCCAATATGACTCAACTTAACTTACAACAAAGGCTAGATTACCACAATATTTCACTGCAAGTGGTAGTGTAATGATTTTATTATGTTGGGGGTACAGAGGCAGTCACAGGCTAATCCATACAGGGTCTCAGAGACCTCTATAAACCTATCTTTCCACCCCGAATATGCTGCTATTCATTGCTATTATTACATCTATTAAGCAGAGAAAGGTTTAATCAACCCAACAGCCATGATGGATTTGCTCAGTTGTCATAGCTGATGTGTGTGCTGCAACAATTCCTAGACATAACCAGTGCTCTGAAATTCTCAGCAGTTCCCTGTATATTTTTTGTGATGTTTTTGACATGGAGGAATGTGTAGTGAACATAGAAATAAAAGCTGATGCACAGTGTTCACCGTACAATCTGGCTGCTTCGATGACTGAGAACAGCTGTAAACCCGGTTTAACCGATTGGTTAAGCCACGTTTATGGATGCTTTGCATCACCAGAGTTGCACATGGTGGTGAATCTGGCCTTTTGGAGTTTTAAATTCAGTGGAGAGAGATTCTCGAGTGGATTTCAGAAGACCTTGGATATCCCTGTATTTTAGACACACCATCTTAAGCCCTGCTTTTTATTTTACCTGTGGGCTGTGATTACTGCACTTTCACAACGGTCTGTATGGAGAGAGGCCTCCTGTGTAAGGTTGCTCTAGTAACT